AACCCTAACGATTTGTGGCTAGGTGCTTTATTTGGAGGAGAAAAAGAAAAAGAAAAAAAAAGTCGCTAAAGGGGTCTGAAAAGTCGCTAAATCGCAAAGTCGATAAGTTGGCAACAACTGTCAGCATCTCCATTTCTCCAACTAACTTACAGGTTAGGCCACGGGTCAAACAGAAAATTCACGCTGCGTTAATCGCGCATTTATAAAATTAGTGCCGTTAAAATTAATTTGCGTTAATTTTGACAGAAATATGGGACACCGTTTACCCCTTGCAGGACATTGGACAAAGCTCTCAATTTTGAGACACTGCAGACTGTTTTGTAAACCAGGCACAATTAAACGCAGTTTGAAAAAAAAAACTTTTGTTGAACAGGGTTTCTGCAGACTTGAACAAGTTCAATTTAAGACTTAAGACCTTTTTAATACCACCTTATATGAAATTTAAGACCTAAACCTGTAATAGAAATACACATTGTATTACATACATATATGTAATATTTAATGTGTATAAATTAAAAAGAAAACAAAATATCAATGCTGTAATAAATGGTATTTATTACTATGATATACAGTGAACTTTTCATTTTTTTTACCTTTTATGGGCATTTTACCTTTATAAAGCCATTTTTCTATAAGTGTGCATTATCTTTTGAGTCAAATTCTTACATTGAATCAGGGAATAAGAATAAGACGTTTGGGCTGTTACCAAGCAAATGAAATCAGTATCAACAAAATTAATCTTTGCAATCCAGACATAAGCTGCATCTGAAGTGGCATTTAGATGTGTTTACACACAGTTTAATGCAGAACATGAATGCATTTAACCTGCCGTTACAAATGCATAAATAATGTTTTTATATATTAAACATAAAACATTGAATACTGATATTTGAAATAATAAAAAAAATGAAAAGATACTTTAAATGTGAAATTAAAACCGCCAGTAGGTGGCAGTAAGTCACTGTTAAGTGAGTCATTGCGATTGAACCGAATCATTTAAACAGTTGATTCATTCAGGAACGAAACACCGTCATGTTGCTCAGAGACGCAAAACAGCGCTGTGGCTTTGTTTGGAATTATTTTTGTTGGCGAAATAGTGCAAAAACAGGCAATATGGTGTCTAAAACGTAGGTCTCTTAATAAAACTTCTAGTTTATTGAACTGTTGTAAAAAATCAGTATCACATTTGTATATGGTAATTTTTGGAGAAAAAAAAGGCACTATTCTGTGTGAACTTGAGTATAAATATACACATTTTCTGCCCCCATGTCTTGAATTTGTGATCATTCTGAATGTAGTTTAATAGACTGAATCATGCAGTGATCAGGCAGAGCGCACT